AGGCCGTGATCAGTCTCCCTTAACACCAGTTTCAGATGATTTTAGTAGGGTTTCCAGTGATGAGAACACTGATGATGCCAATGCTGGACGTAAAATGTTCAACCTTAATCATTGCATGTCTAGAGGCTCTGCTTCCAGAGTGGATGAGGACTACACTTTTAAGAAGACTAAGGATGGAGGATCTAGTCTATTATATAGTAATGGAGATCCAGGAGATGATACATATTCCCAGCATGGTTCTTCTCTTAGGCAACCAGGAACTGTGCAGGATGGTGTTGGCAATGATAGCAAGCTGAAAAAGGTTAAGCTTAAAGTTGGGGGTGTGACGCGCACCATTCAAACCAAAACTGATTCTCATGGTGCATATGGTGGTGGTTTGTCTACAAATGCACGAGCCTTGGATGGTTCGCAGCCACGTCAGAAATCCACTTCACAGGTTATCACGTGTTTCTTCTCAAGTAGTTAGTTATTTGGATTTTTTAAATCCACTTGGATTTTTAGTTTGTGTTCTTTAAAGTAGTCTCCCTCAGAATTATTTGGTTTCATTATTTTGAAAAGGAGGTGAGCCACATGAGATTTTCTGTTTCACAGCTCTACTCGTTCCTCTCTAACATACTTTCAGAAACTGGAAAGGAAAACATGTAGATAGATGTTGCATTATTGTAGGTTTATTAGGGAACAGAAACATTGAAGTGCATAAGAATCAAAGATTAAGAATAAGTTAAAAATTACTCAATTTAGCCCCGAAGTATTAGCTAGGAATTTGCTTGTGGTAGAAAACCAGCGGTTTTAGGTCAACCCTTTGCCTTGTGTTGGATACAGTTTTGGATACTAGTGCCAAACTCTAGATGATGCAAATTGTGATTAATTGCAATTTACCAAAGGAAGAAATCTACTTCTATTGCTAGTAAATCTTTGGCATTTATTTTTTTTGTCCTATTATCACTGTAATAAAACTTCAATGCTGTCCAATTAACCTTTTCCTCTCTATTTTAGGACACATCAAGCAAAGACGGTCTTTCGGAAAAGAAAAGTGGGTTGCAAGGAATTATGTCGAGAGATTCGCCCAAAGGTTCTTTTGCTGCTGGCAAAGGCGATATGGGGAAGACGCCAATGACGAATGCCTTCGAAAAAGGGAGTGACAAATCAGATCCAACTCGTAAGAGTAAGAGGGTGCCAAAGAGGCGTGTATCGGAATGGTTTGATGAGGATGAGAAAGATGATGAGATTCGATACTTGGAGAAGCTTAAAACCTCGAAGATTTCAGGATATAAAGATTTTGAGGAGGAATTGACCAACAAAAGAAGTGTTTCCCGGGTTTCAAAGGTTAGCAAGTTTGAAAAGGATGAAAATGTGGGAAGGTCAAGGAAGAAATCTGAGCAAGGTTCTGAGGACACTGCTTATGAGGTGGAAGAGTTCGTGTCTGATGGTGAGGCTGAAGGAAAAAAGAAGCAGAAACAAAGGAAGGAATCCTCAGATTCATCGATCGATACGATGAGAGGAGAAATGACTCTTACAACACGACAACGAGCTCTTCTATCTAGCAAGGATTCTTCTGCTGCTTCTACTGTGAGTCAGATTGAGTTCCCTAATGGTTTACCACCGGCTCCACCTCGAAGTAATACCCTGTAGTTACTTATATGTTCCAGTCGTATTTCTTTGCTCTAGTACTCTTTCCTGATTTTCAAATTTGTCTTGCCATCTTTGCTTTACGACAGAGCAAAAGGAGAAGCTCACTGATGTTGAGCAGCAACTGAAGAAAGCAGAGGCTGCTCAGAAGCGTAGAATGCAAAATGAGAAGGCTGCTCGTGAATCAGAGGTTTCACTTGTTTCTTTTCCTTCTTACTGTATGTGCTCTTTTAAGATCATATGATGATGAAATGAGCATAACCTTTTGGAATTTGCAGGCTGAGGCAATTAGGAAAATCCTAGGTCAAGATTCTAACAGGAAGAAGCGAGAAGATAAAATAAAGAAGCGGCAGGAAGAGTTGGCTCAGGTAAACTGCTTGTTGGTAGGTACATTGCCTTTTGTAGTGAAGTTACGAAGCTGACAATTAATTAACGTCTATCTGCCAGGAGAAGGCTGCCAAAGAGCAGATGCTTGCAAAAAGCACTGTCAGAGTGGTTATGGGCCCTACTGGGACTGTTGTGACATTTCCTGAAGATATGGGTTTACCTCATATTTTTGACTCTAAACCTTGCAGGTAAGGGTTTTCTCCATCTCCACTTCTTTTTGTTTTCTATGAAATTGGAAACAGGAGATGGAGCCTGGATATCTTTGATTTGCTACATGAATGAAGCACTATTTAAGTTGCTAAGGGGTTCTGGATTGTGTTTTTATTGCTGAATTGCAGTTACCCTCCCCCTCGTGAGCAATGTGCTGGTCCTTCCTGCGTGAATCCGTACAAGTATCGTGATTCTAAGACAAAACTACCTCTTTGCAGTCTCCAGTGCTATAAGGCAATTCGTGAAAAGGAACAGGCTTGAAAGCCTGCTAAAAATTGTTGACATATGCTCTTGCACATTGTTTAGATTCAAGAAAGTACAATGAGGATATATTTTCCATATGCAGTAATCATGACCAGAGATATCTGGGAACAAATTGTATACAGGAATATTTTGGTGTCTCATAAATGTATGCCACCCTGCCCCTAGTTAATTTTTCATCTCTCATTTTTTATTTGATTTTCCCTATTTGCTGTGCAGTTGAGCCAGTTTTGGTGATTGTTTTCCTTTTCTCTATGAGTACATTCTTTGGGGAGTGTCAATTTTTTATCTGTGTTTTTCTGCTGGAAGTTTTGTCATTGGAGGGTGTTATTGCTTCAGCAGAGTCTCATCTGTTGAACCTCTGATGAAGCTTTTCCCATCCCTCAAGTGTGAATTACTGAATGTCTTCTAGTTATATGTTAGACCTTAATAATTCTGCCGTGTGAGGTTGCTCAACTTGTTGGTTTCCAAGCCTTGATAAAGAAGGGTTGCGGTAGGTTGACGTCTAGCACAAAACTAGTTAGTTGTCTACTTTGAGTACTGTGTGAGAGGAAGATATACCTACCAAAACAAAATAGGCAAGTTCAGTGGATCAGTTGTAAGGTAGACAGTGCTATATGAGAGTGAATGTCAGGCCTCTAAGGCCCAACATATTGGTCATACAAGACTAGAATGACCATGTTAGACGAAAGGTGCAAGTAGCATACATAGAAGATAAAAATGAAAGGTCACTACAGATCATTTGGTCATGTCATAATAGACTTCCAGATGCATCGATCTTTAGGTGTGGAACAATAATGGTTGAAGTTGTTAAAAGAGCTTAGGTAGATTTGTAATCACAGGAAGTTGTCTTGAATGACTTACTATCTCTTGGAATACATGTAGACTTGGCAAAAAATAGAGTACAAACGAAAGAAGAAGATCTATGTAGGTGATGTTACTAGCTAAGATTAAGGCTATGTCTGGGATCCCAGTTTCTTCATCACTAAAGTTCTATTAGAGCGTTTTTATGTGGTAGAACCAACAAATAATTATTTAGATTGGATCATTTTTGTCATGCATTACATCATGATCAGGATCCTTTTTGTTGGGAATTTCCAGCCATTCATAAATGCTTGTTTCTCAAACCTCCTTGTGGCAGTAGTTGCCATTTTCTGTAGGAAATAGTCTTTTCCGTTGTCTTTGTAAGAAGGAGAGGGATGGGCTTTCCAGATATTCTCCCTTCTAAGAACCTTTCTCCAACATAAGTCGATGTTTTTCTGGAGAAAAAACTCAATGCCCATAGGCCATAGCTGAGGGGACTAGTTACATGTAAGTTACTGTACTGTCACTGTATGTGGAAAAAGACACTTTCATTAGTAGACAAATATCTTCAATCCTTATCCTTGGGTTCATGAGCATGGGCCTTAAACCTCCTATATATAAGATGCAGATTCTGGCATAAGAACATATACCCATTTTAAACCAATAGTGCAGAAAAATTCCAAAGAAGCAACATCTACTCTATGCCTATTGGCTATTAGTATAATCTACTAATATCTTCCCCATCAAGTTAAACCACTCCATGAAAAATGTGTCTACATTTGAACACTATAGTCTAGCAAAAGAAAACACTTGGGATTTGGGTGCCTCAGTGGTCCCCCAAAAACCAAGACAAAAGACAAACAGAAAAGAAAATCGAAGGTTTGGACTGTATAATGTCTCTGACGCACCCAATAATGTGATGTGTCAGTAGCACGTACTTGATGAAATAATCGAGGTATGCATAAGCTAAAGTTTGTCAGTAGCGTAACTACCACCATTATTAACAAAACGTCCCTTACATCCAAGTTTGAAGATAGATGAGGATTTTATGAATATTTTAAAGTTATTTTACTCATACCTTAAGATTTCAATTTTGAGTTTGAAATTTACTAAATTGTTTCATGTGTTCGATATAAAGAAGGATCATGTCAACATAACGTGTTGCAAGCTTAAAACAAATAGGCAAAGGTGTCCACCCTATTTTTCTTTTGATAACAATAGGGTTTGAGGCAGTTACGCACACATTTATTAATTCCATAGGGTATCTACTATTCCTCACCAACGTAGGGATCAAATAACTTTATCTACAAATGCTTTGACAGATGGAAATGGAAAGAAAAGTATCCACCCTATAGAATAATCAAAGCACCTAGTTTCCTTTACATGGCTACAGAGTGGAAGTACAATGCTCCTTTTGTGAGTATCTTACTTACAATGTGCCAAATGAACAAGAAATTCACAATCTTAAGATACACAGTTACCTGTCGGTAAAGTTACTCGATACTTATATTGGTGGAAGGTTTTAGTTACATAGTTAAATAATTTAGCGTGCGCACGATTGGGTGCATCATTTTACCAACATATAGCACCAGAATGAACAACTTTTCTGAGTTCCAAATTCAATAAATCAACAAAATCTTTTCACTCACAAGACAAAAACAAGAATCAGGTTAACACAACATGCTGCAAAATTAAAAGTTAAAAACAGATAAATGAACATGTTCATTCTATTGAAAAATACAAATAACTGAGTTTCCTTTACATGGCTACAAAAGTGCACCCTCAAATAAAATGTTTGATGCTCCTTCCTGTGATATCTTTATATACAATATGCCAAGTGACATAATGGCAACAAAATCCATCAAGGAATTCACAAACTTAATAGTTCACTACTACAAGCGGTTGATTTGTCAGATGATCACTCAACTAATAGTTATTATCTCATACAATAACTATTAGTCGAGTGACTGTGAGAAATCAATTCCTACTAACCTATCTGAAACTGTGACTGATACCTGCATTTTACTAAGAGGAGGGATCTACAAGGATTGCCTCCTCAAAAATGCCCGCGAAGGATGTAGAAGATGGAGGTAGCTCCAATTCTCCTAATTCATCATAAAAGTCATTCTCTTCCGACAACTCGGATTTTGGAAATTTCATTAGTTGAGGGTAAGAAAGAGGCAGAAAATCATCATATGAAATTGTTCCCAAGAAACTGTCACTGAACAGATTCTCTTCAAGTATGCCTTGGGGAATACTGGTACCAGTAGTAGTACTATTCAATGGGGATTTGCAGCTTTGTGTATCATCATTATCATCATCATCATCGTTGTTGTCTTCGAGGGACACATGTTGATCCACTATTTGCTCTTGTGTAACAGAGTCTTTAGGCAAATTTGGACCAGGATGATTATGGCTGGATGTATATGTGATGACGAACAAAGATGCATCTTTACTGCACCTTTCTACTTGTTTTTTAGCTGAACAACCCTTTGAACTGCTGCATCTGTAGTAACCCCTGTACCCAAAATCATACATGTTAGGTGAAATGTACATTTTCAAGCAAAATACATCAGGATTATCTTATCTTTTCGTTTTCCTTCGAAATTATCTCAAATTTTAGTTTCATATTACTGATTCAATCAAACACAAAAAACATTTTTCAGAAAGTAACTAATAACTCATACCAAATACATCAAGATCATACTTATTCTGAACAACAGACTCTAAATCTTGAATTCGCCTCTACATGTATTAAACAGTTAAAATATTTAGATTTGTGGGGGTGTGGGGGTAGGGTGGGGAGAGAGAATTGTAAATCTACCTGGGGTAAGGGGATCCTTTAATGGGTTTTTGTCCATATTTTCTCCAAGACCAACAATCTGAAGGAGGCCCTTCATTTTTCTGCTTTAAAGATTTTGCTTCCATTTGCACTGTGATAACAACTTTCTGAGCCATCTTTCTAACATGAGAAGAATACTCAGAGCTGTCAGAAAAAAAAAAACAGAAAAAAGTCCCCTTTATATATGCTAACAAAAAGAGATGCCAAAAACCATGACCAAACTATAAATATACGCCAAGTTTTGTGAGTGAAAGTCCCAAAAACTTGAAAATACTTAAAAGATCATATTTTGAAATTTCATGACCAAACAGATAAATTCTCAAAATCTATGACAAAACGCTAACTTTTAGAGCTTTTGGAAATTGGAAGTTTAGTGAATCACCTGTTTTTTGAGGCAAGAAATTGTGGTTGTAGCAATCTTGAAGTTTTAGATTGTGATTTTGTTGGCTTACTTCTACCCATGACTGTGTGATCTTCCTTTTTCTTGTTTTTATGTTTTGGGCTTCTACCTGAGGAACAAAAATGGAGGTGTATGAATGAAGTGAGAAGAAATATTGGAGGTCTCCAATTGATTAGGAAAGAGAAAATGAATGAACTACTACTCTTCCCTTTCGCCGATTCATTTTATTTGTCGTTCTTATTAAAAATAAATATTTAAAATATTCATATACAAAATAAAACGTGACATGGAAAATGGATAGTAGGGGTATAGATAAATGCCAAAACTACACGTTAAACAAGTAGTTTTCAGTCCTATCTTTATGAATGTCATTAATTGTAGAGCTAACATTTCCACTCAACAATAATAACTGTACTGTGCCAATATGGAATATTATTCATCATTTTCACCCTTTTCCACTATCATAAACTACTCTCCTTTTATCTACAACTAGAACTAGAATATAACATCACACACAAAACTTATCCTAATATACATATATAGAATAATTTTTCATATACTTAGAAAATAGATAATTATCGGGATTAATTAATATTTATAATTAAGTACAAGATAAAATAATTTTATATTCAATAGATACACGCTGCTTTTGAGGTGCAAATCCTTGATAGAGCCGCCATCCCATCATTTTTCAAAATTTGTGCCAAATATTCCAAACTCCTTTATGGTTTGTTTCACTTTTTTTCAGAAAAAACAAACAAATCTTCTAAAATTACACTCTGTAGATCCTCACAACTTCTTCCAAGTGTAGGGGGATAGAGCCTAAAGCCGCCTATACATAATGCCTCCACCTATACAATTTAGCGGAGAAATCGAAAGAGGATTTCAAGATGGGGAGACGAATTAACTCTTACAATAAGGTGAGAGTTGAGTTAGCAAATCAAGTGTACTACTAAGATTTTTTAGTGTTACGATTTTTTTATATCCATTTTTAGGAGCTTTCACTTTCTTTTTTTTTTTATGATTCAAACTTACAATCTTTGAATTAAAGATGGAAGATACTTATTATTTAAACAACCTTCTAGTTTAAAGAGATTAATTAACAAAAAACATACAAAGACGAATCAATCTTATTTAAGTTAGTAAATTCAGAATAAATGTAGTATATTTTTTGGAGTGAGCCAAACACCATGCATTTAGTTGGACTGATTGGAATCATTATAGACTCTAATCTAGTGGAAGGTACCAATAACGAAAAAGGATTAAATATCCTTTTTGTTATTAGTTTAAATATTACTTCTAATTATACTTTTGATTTGAAATATCTCTTCTATGGTTCAAACTTACTTTTTCCATTATGTTTTATCATAATTTATTCTTAATTTTAATTGAAAAATGTATGACAAGCTCAAAATCTTTTCACTTACAAATTCTAGTGGCCCCCTCGATAGGAAAAAATAATAACCCCACCATCACAATTTGAGAAAAACGATAACCCACAATCACTATTTCTTAATAGTATACAATATGTTTGGCCATTTTGCGAACCAATAATTTCTAAACAATGCGTTTAATGGGATTGATTTGTCGTTGTCATGGATAGCCATCAGAACAAATTAATTATTTTTTATGACGAGGGAAAGTTGTAATCACTATTTTTTGGGTATGCACAAGTTAAAATTTTTGTTCCTATGCTATAGCGTGCAAATTAGGTAATCCGCACTAAGCAAGTCCGGTGCAACAAGCTCAACTCTCAACTCAGAAGGCAAACTCATTGCTTTTGTTGGCAAGAGATTTCGAACTTGAGACCTCTAACATAGAAGTCTCAAGCTCAAATCACTAGGCCACCCCAAAGGGTCAGAACAAATTAATTACTACTTCATTTATTCCTTTTAACTTGTCTCTAATTTTTCTTTTTACTTATTTATTTTTTGATAAAGTATATAAGAATAATATTTGATATATGTGAATAATGACGAGATTAGTTATATTAGAATCCTATTTCTTATTCACTATTTGATTTGATTTGATGCATTAAAACTAATTATTTCTTTATATATGCTTATTTGTGTTTTAATACCCTATGTATTGCTAATATCATGGTTTGCTATGTATTATTATACACCCTATAAAATAATATTGAATATGGTATATATTCAACTAATACATATATTAGTTAATACATAGGTTCAGAATCCTACCAAACAAAAGATTAAATAATGTCATGACTAATACATACATTAGATTTTCTAATACATTCTACCAAATGACCCTACATATTGTATCAAATTGGACAAGAGGTGATTGCATGTGTTATGCATCATTCACCTTCAACTTTAAAATTATAAATTTGAGTCATAAAGAAATAAAAAGATGAAAACTCGGAGGGAGGGATAAAAATAAATAAAAATTGGAATGGTCGAATTCTCATGTAAATAAGTTGAAGTCCCCTCCTCTTTGAATAGTTTTATTCGTTCAATTTTATAGTAAAATCCTCAATCTTTTAAAATGGTACATGCTTCCAACCACACAAACAGTTCATTTTCACTAGGAATAACTAATTTATTATATATAACAATATGAAAATTATGTAGCAAAAAAATAAAATTATATGCAAAACACCCATTTTTCAAAAAATAAAAGATGATAATGAGACAGGTCAAGAAAAGACCAAGTAAACTACCAGCAAAATTATTGGGTGATAAAAATAAGGGATCAACAGTGTAAGAAATAGTTTGGATTGACTTAAAAGTTGATCAAACCTATTTTTAAGAGTCCGCTGGATTGGCTTAAACGTCGGTTAAACCTACTTTTAAGTCAGTTTTTGACTTCTGGAAGTGTTTGGCAAATATAAAAAATAACTTAAAATAAGTTATGAAGTGTTTGGCAAGGTAAAAAATGACTTAAAATAAGTCAGAAACCAAAAGTAGGTCTCCTCCTACTTTTTATTTTTTGACTTAAAAGTCATTTCAGTTTGACTTTTTATTTTTGACTTAAAAGCTACATTTTTAAGCCAATCCGAACAGGCTCTAAGTCAATTTTTGACTTCTGGAAGTGTTTGACAAATATAAAAAAATAACTTAAAATAAGTCAAAAACCAAATTAGGTCTCCCCCTATTTTTTATTTTTTGACTTAAAAGTCATTTTAGTTTGACTTTTTATTTTTTAACTTAAAAATTACTTTTTTTAAGTCAATCCAAACCAACTCTAAGTTTCCATCGGGTCTGATTTATTGGTTAAATCGATTTTCACGATCAAAATAATAAAATTAAGGGATCAACAAGGTAAGTTTTCAACTAAATAATTTTCAAAACTACAAGTTATAAGCAATTCATAGTAAAATGACAAATCTAAAGTTAAATTACTTTTTAAATAAAAAAAAAACATTATATTCTTTTTGGGACAAACAATAAGAAACTTATATGACACATAAATTAGTAACGGAAAAAACTATGTTTGAATTGAAGATATTGACTCGCCATATAGTTCAAGCCCCAAATTAAAAAAAAAATTATCTTTCAAATTACTTAATAATATAAATATTTTTATTCAATCAATATACAAAAAAATAATAATCTCTTTTATGTTTTTTAATACTACCACCACTTTCATTAACGAAAGAGTCCCACCTTCACTTTGCGTTAGATTGAATTGAAACCTAATAAGACTATAATTAATATGTCAGCCAAAATCTTTTTTTGAAATTCAGATAACCCGTAGCTGTTATAATCTTTGTTGCGTCACCGTCTCTGTTCTTCAGATGAGTACTTTGTGGACCACACAAGAGATGTAAAAAATAAAAAAATTTAAAAAAAATTATTTTTAATTTGATAACATTTTCTTCCCTCTTTTTTTAATTTGGTGACATGACACATCAACTTTCTATGACATTCCACCTCTTTAGTGTTTCCATATAAACAAACTTCTTCGTAAATTAGGTGACTGTCAATTTTTAAAAATTGCAATAATAATCTACCAAATATCCATTCTACACTTCTCAAAAATATATCTATTGGTAGTTGATGGGAAACAAATAAACAAATATTAGACCATATATCAATTATCATCAAAGCATCAAACTACATGTTGTCCCTTCCTAAATAATCTAAAATAAAGACTAAACTAATACCACACACATTATTATTTGATTCGTTGCATACAAACATTATATTATAATTATATTTATTTAACCAAACTTGATAGACATAGACATCGTGACAACCACTTCTTAGAATTTGTATTATTTTCAAATTCATTCTTCATGAACATATATAGTACTTATCTTCATTTTTTTTTTCATATACAACAAGAATTCATTCAAATTTTTTCTAGTATTTTCTCATGGATTCTTTTGCAAATTTATTGAGAGAACCATTTCAATTTTTTACAACTATTCTTCTTAGTCTTCTTTTTCCTCTTTCTTTTCTTATACTTTCTAGGCTATCTGTTGCACATTATCTTATTGATCTTGTAGGTTATTCAACAACAGAAATTACAATTAATTGTGATTTACTAATCAAATTTTTTCTTCAAGTTAACCCTATTTTACTACATGTTCTTGTTTCTATTATCAGTGTTGCTGCACTTTCTCATACCTTAACCGGTGGTACCTCTTGCTTTATCAAGCGTACCCTAGAGCCTGTCTCGAGACCGCGATTATACACTGCGTGGTTTTTCGTATGCATATTGCAAATTTGCGTTGGTTTAGGCATTGAAGGTACGTGTTGAGAATATAATTTTGAATATAACGTGTTTTTCCCGCCTTTCAAATATATGTGTCAAGTCGATAAAATAGAAAATCTAACAAGTTTTTTCGAAAATAAGTACATCCTTAAAACTTTACTAAATGATCTAAGAAGTCAAAGGAGAGATAAAGTGTTACTCTATTATTTTAGCTACATTTATAATGTATGATATATTTAGTCGATGTGAGTCTAGAAATCGTATCGTGACACGTATAAAAAAACTTATTATTACGTATCGACGGAGTTTATTAAGAGGTTAATTTATGTTCTAACAGGTAGTATAGCTGCTGGAGTTGATGCTTATGAAATTGGTTATGAAAGGGGATTTTTGACAAGAGCTATATTCTTCTTGGGACTAAATGAGACAATGTTCTTTTGGTCCAATATTTTTGTGAAGCCAGTGGTGGATGACACAGTTTTTGGCATTCTAAGGGAGAATAAATGGATTGAAAAGGCAGCATTGGCAATGAGTTTTGGTGGACTTTGGT